GGTTCCCCCTGAGCACGTGACAGACATGAAAGGGTCTGGAGAAGCCGTGGAGAACGTTTCTGCTGCCTATAACATGGTTCAGTATGACTGTATTGGTGGTGGGTCAGTGATGGTCTGGGGGGGCATATCCATGGAGGGACACACAGACCTCTACAGGCTAGACCAGTGGTTGGCAAGCCGAGGCTCGCGAGCCACATGCGGCTCTTTACACATTTTAATGCGGCTCTTCTGTGTGCCGAGCGCCCGCTCCCCTCCCCTCGAGCGGCCGCCCCAAAAGTCAGGACTTTGCAGCTAGCCCAGCAAGGGCAAACTACGGCCCGGCGGACCTTTTAATCCCGCGGAGCGTGGCAAACATTGGCTGTCAGGATGTAGGCGGGGCAGCGTGACGAACTCCTCTCCTCTCACAGTCCGCCCTGAAGACCGGAACGGCGCGGGAAACACGGCGAGAGGAACGCGCGCGGAGCAAAGGTAAGTGAATTGACACAATAGGGGGGATGAATTACTATATGGGGGATGAATTACTATGGGGGATGAATTACTATAGGGGGGATGAATTACTATAGGGGGGATGAATTACTATAGGGGGGGATGAATTACTATAGGGGGGGATGAATTACTATGGGGGGGGATGAATTACTATGGGGGGGATGAATTACTATATGGGGGATGAATTTTCAGTTTTAAAATGTGGCTCTCAAAATAAATTTCAATCGTGGTTTTGGCGAGATTTGGCTCAGTTGAAAAAAAAAGGTTGCCCACCACTGGGCTAGACAATGGTACCCTGACTGCCATTAGGTATCAGGATGAAATCCTTGGACCCATTGTCAGACCCTACGCTGGTGCAGGGGGTCCTGGGCTCCTCCTGGTGCAGGGGGTCCTGGGCTCCTCCTGGTGCAGGGGGTCCTGGGCTCCTCCTGGTGCAGGGGGGGTCTGGGCCCTCCTGGTGCAGGGGGTCCTGGGCTCCTCTGGTGCGGTGGGTCCTGGGTTCCTTCTGGTGCAGACAATGCCTGGCCTCATGTGGGGAGAGTATGCAGGCAGTTCCTGGAGGATGAAGGAATTGATACCATTGAATTGCCCCCACGTTCACCTGACCTAAGTCCAATAGAACCCCTCTGGGATGTCATGTTTCGGTCCATCCGATGCCTCCAGGTTGCACCTCAGACTGTCCAGGAGCTCAGTGATGGTCCAGATCTGGGAGGAAATCCACCAGGACACCATCCGTGGTCTCATTAGGACCCTCCCCCGACATTGTCAGGCATGCATACAAGCACAGTGGGGGCCACACAGACTACTGAGGACCATTCTGAGTTGCTGCAATGACATTTCATGGACTCGCCTGCTGCATCATTTCTTCACTTTGATTTTCGGGGTGTCTTTGAATTCAGTCCTCTGTAGGTCGATCATTTCCATCCAACGATGGGGCGTCCTTACGTTCCTTACCCATCCCCCGTCCATGTCAGTATAGAGATCCAGCAGGAGATTCCTCCCCATTGGGATCTAATGGGTTCTCAGATTCTCTTTTCTGAGCCGTGTATAAAGCCATATCATGTATCGGTGGCGTGTAGCCATTTCCCATACTGGACAATTCCTGTAGCATGCGAGATCCTTGTAACAATGTATCAGTTCTATTCCGGTATCGGTATATACGGCAGGCTGTATACTGTACCTGATACTTCCTGGGGGTGTATATATTATCGTGAATCGCCTCCTGCTGCCAGGGCAGCCCAAAGAAGGGGCCCATGGGTGAGGAGGCTGGGGTCAGGAGCTGCAGGCCTGCCATGCTGAGGATCTCTCCCACATCCAGTGACTTAAATCATCGCAGCTCGCGGTCCGCGCAGCGCTCTGCAAACACACAAAAACATTCACATTTACCCAAAACGTCACAAAAAACTACAAAATAAAAAATAAAAAATAAAAAAAATGATAATAAAAAAATAAAAAAAAAAATAATAAAATATATATAAAATGATTTATTGAATACGGCCTGAATTGTCTCTGCACATGGACACAGACTATTATTTTTCTTTTTAATTTTTACAATTTTTTTTTTTTTTTTAGTTTTTATATCACGCCAAAAAGATGAATAAGTACTGAGCCGACAATGTAGCTTTTGCTGCATTAAAGGGTAACTCCACTTTTATTGAGAATAATAAACCCCTCCCCTCCTCTGGGTGATCTATGTACATTGCAGAGATTTTAACAAACTTTGTTGCAGATTCCGACTTTTTTTTCTCAGAACAAATCGTCTGTCCATGGCCAGAGTGAAGGTGAATGGGAGCGACTTTAAAATTATCAATCAGCTGCTGCACTTGCAGGGCTCTGGGGAAAGTGTCAGGGTCTGCATTCCTTCCCACATGGAAGAAACATATATATGAAATACAGTGAAGGAAATGTGTATTTGCTCCCCGGCTGATGCTGAAATGTTCGCCCCTCACACAGAAATGATCGGTCTAACAATGGAATGTTCGCCCCTCACACAGAAATGATCGGTCTAACAATGGAATGTTCGCCCCTCACACAGAAATGATCGGTCTAACAATGGAATGTTCGCAGCCCTCACACAGAAATGATCGGTCTAACAATGGAATGTTCGCCCCTCACACAGAAACGATCGGTCTAACAATGGAATGTTCGCCCCTCACACAGAAATGATCGGTCTAACAATGGAATGTTCGCCCCTCACACAGAAATGATCGGTCTAACAATGGAATGTTCGGTGTAACACTGAGAGACAGAATACAACAAATTCAGCAGAAATGCGTCTAACAAATGATGACTGATCTGCGTGTTCATGAGGGAAAGAAGGATTTGATCCCCTTCACAAAACATGACTTAGTACTTGGTGGCCAATCCCTTGTTGGCAATCACAGAGGTCAGACGTTTCCTGGAGTTGGCCCCCAGGTTCGCACACATCTCAGGAGGGATTTTGGCCCACTCCTCTTGGCAGATCCTCTCCAAGTCATTAAGGTTTGGTGGCTGACGTTTGGCAACTCGAACTTTCAGCTCCTCCACAGATTTTCCATCGGATGAAGGTCTGGAGACTGGCTAGGCCACTCCAGGACCTTAATGTGCTTCTTCTTGAGCCGCTCCTTTGTTGCCTTGGCCGTGTGTTTTGGGTCCTTGTCATGCTGGAACACCCATCCACCACCCATTTTCAATGCCCTGGCTGAGGGAAGAAGGTTCTCACCCAAGATTTGATGGTACATTGCCCCGTCCATCGTCCCTTTGATGCGGTGCAGTTGTCCTGTCCCCTTAGCAGAAAAACCCCCCCAAAGCAGAATGTTTCCACCACCATGTTTCACAGTTGGGATGGTGTTCTTGGGGTCATAGGCAGCATTCCTCCTCCTCCAAACACGGCGAGTTGAGTTGATGCCAAAGAGCTGGATTTTGGTCTCCTCTGACCACAACACTTCCCACCAGTCCTCCTCGCATCATTCAGATGTTCAGTGGCAGACTTCAGACGGGCCTGGACATGGGCTTTCTTGAGCAGAGGGACCTTGCGGGGCACTGCAGGATTTCAGTCCTTGTCGGCGTAGTGTGTTACCAATTGTTTTCTTGGTGACTGTGGTCCCAGCTGCCTGGAGATCATTGACAAGATCCTCACGTGTAGTTCTGGGATGATTCCTCACTGTTCTCATGATCATTGACACTCCACGAGGTGAGATCTTGCATGGTGCACCAGACCTAGGGAGACTGACACTTGTTTTGTGTTTCTTCCATTTGTGAATGATTGCACCAACTGTTGTCACCTTCTCACCAAGCTGCTTGGCCATAGTTTGGTAGCCCAGTCCAGCCTTGTGTAGGTCTACCATCTTGTCCCTGACATCCTTGGACAGCTCTTTGGTCTTTGCCATGGTGGAGAGTTTGGAATCTGATGGTTTGATGGCTCCTGTGGACAGGTGTCTTTTATACAGGTAACACAATGAGATTAGCAGCACTCCCTTTAAGAGACTGCTTCTAATCTCAGCTTGTTACCTGTATGAGAGACACCTGGGAGCCAGAAATCCTGCTGAATGATAGGGGATCAAATCCTTCTTTCCCTCATGAACATGCAGATCAGTCATCATTTGTTAGACGCATTTCTGCTGAATTTGTTGTTGTATTCTGTCTCTCAGTGTTACACCGAACATTCCATTGTTAGACCGATCGTTTCTGTGTGAGGGGCGAACATTCCATTGTTAGACCGATCATTTCTGTGTGAGGGGGGGGGGGCATTCCATTGTTAGACCGATCATTTCTGTGTGAGGGGGGGGGGACATTCCATTGTTAGACCGATCATTTCTGTGTGAGGGGGCGATCATTCCATTGTTAGACCGATCATTTCTGTGTGAGGGGGGGGGGGCATTCCATTGTTAGACCGATCATTTCTGTGTGAGGGGCGAACATTCAGCATCAGCAGGGGGGCAAATACACAAATACACATTTCCTTCACTGTATATTTTAAAAATATTCTTCCCAAAATATTGACATACGTTTGAAATACTACAATTCTGACCATATTCAATAAAAAAAAATACACAAAACACACATGCGCTTTAAGCTCCCGATATCAAAGCGCCCCCAAACACATGCAATGCAGACGGTGGCAGCGCGTTGGTGGGGGGCTCAAGAGGTTTAAGTAGGTTGGAGAGGAAGAGATACAATGCATCTTCACTGCCTGTCAAATGCTCTCTGATGAGCGATCCAAACGTGGGTCGCTCTTCAGAAACCAAAGCACATGTGAACGAGCCATATAAGAAGTGTGGGAGGAAACTCACCGGATTCAGTCTGTGAGAACCGTACTACGAGGACACGACAGGGACTGCGACACCATATCTATGGAGGAAGGAAGACACAGGAGGGATTATATACCCAACGAGGAGAAGCGGAGCGCCATCCCTATGAAACATCGAGGAGTCAAAGATCCCACCAATGATCCCTACAGAGGAACTTCACTCCCTCCACCCCCATTGTAATCCTCACATTGCTAGTATTAGGAGATACAGAGGAACAGAAAACCATTCACTTGTCTGACCACCTACTGCCCAAACCAAGTCTGACACCTCTCACATATTCACGGGTTCCTAAACCCTGGAACCCGCGTTCGCTCCACCCCGCTCCCCCCCCGGGCCCCGCGTTCGCTCCACCCCCCCCGGGCCCCGCGTCCGCTCCCACCCGCCCTCCCCGGGCCCCGCGTCCGCCGTACCGCCCTCCCCGGGCCCCGCGTCCGCCGTACCCGCCTCCCCGGGCCCCGCGTCCGCCGTACCCGCTCTCCCCGGACCCCGCATTCGCCGTACCCCGCTTCTCCCCGGACCCCGCATTCACCGTACCCGCTTCTCCCCGGACCCCGCATTCACCGTACCCGCTTCTCCCCGGACCCCGCATTCACCGTACCCCGCTTCTCCCCGGACCCCGCATTCACCGTACCCGCTTCTCCCCCCGGACCCCGCATTCACCGTACCCCGCTCTCCCCGGACCCCGCATTCACCGTATCCGCTCTCCCCGGACCCCGCATTCACCGTATCCGCTCTCCCCGGACCCCGCATTCACCGTATCCGCTCTCCCCGGACCCCGCATTCACTATATCCGGTCTCCCCGGACCCCGCATTCACCGTATCCGCTCTCCCCGGACCCCGCATTCACTATATCCCCTCTCCTCGGACCCCGCATTCACTATATCCGCTCTCCCCGGACCCTGCATTCACCGTATCGCTCTCCCCCGGACCCCGCATTCACTATATCCCCTCTCCTCGGACCCCGCATTCACTATATCCGCTCTCCCCGGACCCCGCATTCACTATATCGCTCTCCCCGGACCCCGCATTCACTATATCTTCTCTCCCCGGACCCCGCATTCACTATATCCGCTCTCCCCGGACCCCGCATTCACTGTATCCGCTCTCCCCGGACCCCGCATTCACTGTATCCGCTCTCCCCGGACCCCGCATTCACTATATCCGCCCTCCCCGGACCCCGCAATGCTGTGCCACTGGGTTCTTTATATAATACAGGGAGAAGTCCAAGTCTCACACACGTGATTTTGCGCGCCCGTGCCGCTCTGTGGCAGTATTTCTGCTATAGGGCAGACGGAAAGCGGTTAATAAACACCCAAACAAAAAATCCATTAATAATAATTAAAAAAAACATTTTTATAACTTTTTTCGGGGGTTAAATATTAATTACAAGTATTATTTCCGATTATTTTTAATTTGTGTATATATGTTATATTAATATTTTTGTTTGGGTTTAGATAAATTTAACCTCTTCACGCCGGCTGCATACAAATGTGCCGCCTCCCCGCATCCGGGCCTAGACGCCGAGCGGAATCCGCACATTCGCGTTCTATTAAAAAAGGACATATGTGCAAAGGGTGCGCGCCCTGCCCGCTCCCAGCACACGTGTCCGATACTCACGGAAAGGTCCCGATCTCCTCTTCTGATCGGGACCTTTCCCGATCATGTGACCGCCATGACAGCCGCGTCACATGACGCTAAACTCCGCAGACCTTAAAGGGCCGGGAGGCGCGGCGTGAAGGGGTTAATATAGTTAAAGGTTAGGGGGGTTAATTATTATTACATAGTATTTTACGATTATTTTTATTTGTTTATTTAACATTTGTTCATCATCATTCTAACAAAAAATAATAAAAGAAAAAAGCTGATGGAAAAGCCAAAAAAACAAAAAAAATAAAACTAATCAAATGCTGCAACACATATTTTTCTCTATCGGCTGATAATACAAAAAAAAAGCCAAAGCTTAAATCGCGGTATGAAAAGGCGCAAAAATCGTGGAAAATATGCGCGAAAGACGCTACGCTTGGATGTGAATGGAGCCTTATATACACAGCCCCTCCCACCATTGCAGAGAAGGAAGGAAAGCTCTTGCGCTCTATGACCCAAACAGGGGTAGATAGATGGAACCAGGACTTGGAAGTGCCTATGGGGTTGTGCAGCTCCAAACAAGGCCAACCAATACTGCGAAGCGAGAACAAAGAGCGCAGAGGTAATGCGCAAGGTTTGTGCGCGGTTTGTTCTCGCTTCGCAGTATTGCATAGAGAAGCACAGAGACCCAGTGATGACATCACTGGGTTACAAAACAGAATAGTTTAACAGGTTCATTAGCACGTTGAAGTTTTTTTTCCTTCCGCAGAGCCGGGTCTCCTGACAGCCGCTGGAGTGAGAAGCCATTGAACAGACAATGGAGGAAATCTGGGAACAGCGAGAATTCAAAAAAAAGAGTAAAAACAAACATTACAATAATCTGATCACAAACTAGCCTTTCCCTTGAACCGTGTCCGGTGTCCCTGAGCCGCAGCATGACCGTCAATGTGCACCCGACGGGTGGCTGGCATTTTATAGGTAGAGATTACCGCGGCAGTTATGTTACCCAATTCCTGCCCCCCCCCCCCCCATATGTACAGAAAGCTTTAACACTTTTTTTTGTGGCTCCTTAAAATCTTTGGCAACGAACTTTTCACAAAGCAAATAAACAGCAGAGGCCCAGCTCGGGGCCACCGACAGGTGAACCGCAGAATGAGGTCATGGCGCAAGCCTGCTGCTTCGGGCCCCTTAATGGGTGCCAAGGATTCTTTTATTTGGAGTAATTACACGGCGATACGGTGCGCGGCGAGCGTTATACAGCGCGCTGGGATTATAAAGAGGCGCTCGCAGACGTTTGAGGTCCGGCATATGGGGCCCCTGTGTGTACTTAGCGACCGCTGCGTCTGACAGCGACGAGCGTCCGTCCCAGCCTATTACCCGCGTAATCCTTTACCTCGGCGCTGATTAGGAGGCGTCCCCAAGGTAGCCGCCGGTAACTCAGTAATCACCCGCGGTAACCCGGAGGAAACATAAAAATAGCTGCATTTACCGCAGGAGTCACATAAAAAGCCATGTGCCCCGTCTGTTCCCACATTCTGCTTCGTGCGGAATTCACATACGGCCTAACAAATCTGATTACAACGTGTCTGTCTTGGCAGTTCAGCCCGGCGCAAGGGCGCAAAAGAGAGAGCGCGCGAGAGAGAACGAGAGAAGGGGGGGGAGAGAAAAAAAAGAGAGAACGAGAGAAGGGGGGGGGGGGCGAGCGCGGAAGGGGAAACGAGAAAATGGGGAAGAGCGGCGCGAGAGAGAGAAGGGGGGGGATAGAGGGGGCGCGAGAGAGAGAAAATAAAAAAAAAAAGGGGGCGCGAGAGAGAGAAGGGGGGGGGATAGAGGGGGCGCAGGAGAGAGAAGGGGGGGGGCGAAAAAGGGGGCGCGAGAGAGAGAAGGGGGGGAGAAAGAGGGGGCGAGAGAGGGAGAAGGGGGTCGAGAGAGGGGGTCGAGAGAGAAAGGGCGGGGGGGCGAAAGAGAGAGAAGGGGGGGGCAAAAAAGGGAAGGGGGGACGAAAGAGTAAAAAGGGGGGGAAAAGAAAAAAGAAAGGGGGGCGAAAAAAAAAAAAAAGGGGGCGAAGGAAAGGAAAAATGGCGAGAAAGAGGAAAAAAAAAAGGGAATCCAAAGATAAAAAGGGGGCGAAAGAGAAAAAAAAAATAAAGAAAAAAAGAAAAAGAAAAAAAGGAAAGAAAGAAAAAAAAAAAAATAAAAAAAAAAGAAAAAGAAGGGAAAAAAAAAAAAAAGAAAAAAAAAAAAAATAAAAAAAAAAAGAAGAAAAGAAAAAAAAAAAAAAAAAAAAAAAAAAAAAAAAAAAAAAAAAATAAAAAAAAAAAAAAAATAAAAAAAAAAAAAAAAAAAAAAAAAAAAAAAAAAAAAAAAAAAAAAAAAAAAAGAAAAAAAAAAAAAAAAAAAAAAAAAAAAAAAAAAAAAAAAAAAAAAAAAAATAAAAAAAAAAAAAAAAAAAAAAAAAAAATAAAAAAAAAAAAAAAAAAAAAAAAAAAAAAAAAAAAAAAAAAAAAAAAAAAAAAAAAAAAAAAAAAAAAAAAAGAAAAAAAAAAAAAAAAAAAAAAAAAAAAAAAAAAAAAAAAAAAAAAAAAAGAAAAAAAAACAAAAAAAAAAATAGAATGAAAACCCAAAAAAAAAAAGGATTAAAAAGAAAAAAATAAAAAAAAAAAAAAAAAAAAAAAAAAAAAAAAGAAAAATAAAAAAAATAAGAAAAAAAAGGGAAATAAAAAAAAAACGGTAGAATAAAAAAAAAAAATAATAAAAAAAAAAAAAAAAGAAAAAAAAAAAAAAAGTAAAAGAAAAAAAAAAAAAAAAAAAAAAAAAAAAAAAAAAAAAAAAAGAAAAAAAAAAAAA